TTGGTTCTTTTTTCTTTTTTATTATCCACCTCAGTTATTTTGAAAGGACTGTCTTCAAGATCAGACACTCTTTCTTCTGCTTGCTCTAGCCTGCTGCTTAAGCTCTCAGTCGTGGCTTTTATTTCATTGAATGAATCAGTTACAGGAGTTCTGCTACATTCTTTTTTAAGGTTTTAATCTCTTTACGAATTTCCTCCCTCATATCCTCAATAGTTTTTCTCATTTCATTGTGTCAGTTAACTAAGTCATCTTCTATTCATTGAGTTTCTTTAAGATTGTTGCTCAGAATTCCTTTTCAGTCTTTTCAAGGGTTTCCTGCCCTATGGGGTCTGGTACTTGAGAATTATTATATCCCTTTGGTGGTGTCATATTTTCTTGTTTTTCATTTTTTTATTCATATTTCTAGTTTCTCTATGTTGATGTCTGGTCAACTGGTAGAGCAACTGCTTCTTCTATTACTCTGGAGTGGGCTTTGAGGAGAGAGACTTACTCCTGTGGATGTGTTTTATATTGACCATTAAGTACTGTGGTTTTAGTATTGGTTCTGGGTAGACACGGTAGTCTCTGTGTGGGTACTTCAGCCATATTCAATGTCACAGTTGTGTGTGTGTGCCTCTATGGCCTAGGCACAGCAGCACTTAGTGATTCCTTGCTGAAGTTAGTGACACCGTGTTGGGTAGTCAAGGAGGTGGCTGAGCTCTTGTGTTCCTGGAAGAAGCACCTGGGTGCCCTGTTGCTCTTTGGCTGGAGTGGGTGACCCTGGGTGGGCTTGGCACTCTGGGTAACATCCCATGGCTCTGATGAGTGCACTGGGGTATATACTGGAGCTCCTCAGTTTGAATGAGTGGCCCTGGGTGGGGTTCCTTTTTCCTCTTTCCTAAAGGCAAAGGCTCCTCCTGGGTCCTTGCTTTCCCTGGTTGGGGGATGGGTTAGTGGTAGTTTGGAATTTTCTTCCTTACTCTATTTGGGTATTCTGGGTTTCCACACTCTCCGGGGGTTCCACATGTATCTCTCCCCAGATCAAGGCAATCATGTGGGCTCCACATGTACCTCCCATCCTGAGGTGTGCTACCATGGGGGCCAGCATAATTCTCCATTGTGGGTTGAGCCATTGGGTTTCAGGTCTGCACTTCCTTACCTCTTTCCCTGGACTCCACTGGTGACCCTCCTTGTGTCAATGCAGTCTCCTGGTCACTGCACTGCCTGCACAGTGGTGATGGCCGCTGCGGTGGCAGTGGCTATTGTTGTGGCAAAAATCTGCATGGTGGCAGTGTCTGTGGCAGCAGTAGACCACCCACACAATGGCACCCCATGCTCCTGCAAGCTGTTCACAGGGGCTGCCCTCAGCTCCTGAGGTCCCCAGACTCCTGCTGGCTGTCAGTGGGTGCTGCTCTTGGCTCTGGAGGTCCTCCTGCTCCTCAGAACTCATTGATTCTTTTTTATTGGTTACACCAAGAGCAATTTGGAAAAATATAGATAAGCATAAAAAAGGATAAAAAGGACATTTAAATCATTCATAATTAAACTTTGTGTTCTGCTTTATTTTCAACTAATATATCATGTACATTTTCTAAGTCATGAGAAATTTTTCAAAAGCATCCTTTTCAATGACTGTATGATATTCTATGATATGGATTTAATAAAACTTTTACCTTAAAATTTGTTTTTATTTATTTAATTTTTAAATAGTAATACATTCACATGGTACAAATTATTCTCAGAAGGTGGGAGGGCTGGCCCGTGGCTCACTTGGGACAGTGTGGTGCTGATAATACCAAGGCCATTGGTTCGGATCCCTATATAGGGATGGCTGGTTCGCTCACTTGGGAGAGCGTGGTGCTGACAA